TTGGGCGTTCAACTTGGATCATGCTATGGGTGATTTTGGGCATCGGTGACCCATGCAGGTGTGGCCAGGCCAAGCTGTACTGGCAGCTCTTACCGGCAGAGCCTGCTGCTGCAGGATGATTGGGGCTGATTGGTGGAAGTTCTTTTCCAGCTCAGCCCGGAGCCTTGAGTTTTCTGCCAGTATCACTGAGTAAAGGTCAACAGGCAAATTCTCTCCTGTGGAACCCAGCTGGAGGCCAGGGCCTGCGGGCATGGGAAGGCTGTGAACATACTCACAGTTGGATGTGAGATGGGCCTTCTTCGGTCAGCCCCAGCATTTTGCTCCTTGCTGCTCTTCCTCTTCCCCCAAGCTATTGATGGCTCCCTATTGCTGGTGGAACCAAGCCTGCGCCCCTCAGGCTGTCCTTCTAGGTTGTTTAGAATTGGACTGCAATATTTTATCCTCCCCTCTCTCCAACTATTTTCCCTCTGGATATTTCAGGTTGTACCCTCTCTCTTGCCTACCTCCTCTGCTCCTGACATTCTTCCGCCCTGGGCCTTTGTCTGGTTGTAGCCTTCCCTAGATGCTCTCCCCCCTGGTTCCCAAGGACCTAAAGGTCCCTGTGAAAGGCAGGCCAGGCTTTCAGTATTTTCTAATGCCTTTCAGAGCCCCCAGGACCCCAGCAGAGTGGGCTGAGCACAGGGCCAGGCACAGAGAAAACCCTTGCTTTGGGATTCTTTCCCACTCTTCCCTGCCTATCCAAACTACCTCTGGCTGGCAGTGGTTAACCCAAAAGGGGACATCATCATGGGTTTCAGCATAGTATTCATTCATTAGTTGGTTTGCTTTGCCAAGAGAATCTTTGAAGATACGGAATAATTCAAAGGATTTGGGTTAAGGAGTCAGGACTGCTACCCAGGGTGGCTCTCTGTTGGGCAAGCCCTTCTCTGCTGGTCCCTGTATCCCTGCTGTGTCTCAGCCTGCAGGCCTCTCCCTGGATGGTCAGCCTCTTTCCAGCCTGGCTTACACCAGTGTCTCCCCAGAGGTATTTGGCTGGAGGGAGCTCAGGGCCCTGGTGAGGGGGGACAGCGCTGTCCTGTGTGTCCCAACCCACAGATGTGACTGAGTAGGTTCTCTTGCAGCTGGGGGCTCTAGAGGACTTAGCCTATCTCAAGAGCTGGGCAAAAACTGGAGAGTGGAACCCCGCTGTCCAGAACGGGGGGGGGGGGTGGGGGGGGAGCCTGCGGCTTCCCCAGTGGCCTGCTGGACAGCGCAGGCTTCTTCCTCTCCCACAGCAGCCTCTCCTCCAGCAGCTGCTCCATCTTCTCTATCACCTGCGGGTGGTAGAGGGTAGCTGGGCTGGGGCACACCACATCTTCCCGTGTGCAGCCCCCCACCATAGGCGAGCTGGGCACCTGCCTTCTCCTGGTGTCGCACGGTGTCCTCCAGCACCTCTATCTTCCGCAGCTTGTCCTGGTACTGCCTCAGCAGGGCAGCCTTTGGCTGCTGCGCCTGACACCGCACCAGCAGCTCCTTTTCTCTGTCATTCTTCTGCATAGAGCGGGTGGTGGGGGAGAAACCCTGGTCACAAGCATCCACCCAGGCCTCCTGGGGTCCCCTGCCACCCCGGCTCACTGCCTCTCCCAACCCTGCCCACCCCACTTCCTTGCAGTCCCTGCTCACCCGAATCAGCTCATTCTGCAGGTGCTGCACCTTGCCCCTCAGTTTCTTCGCGTCCAGCTCACTGAGCAGCAGATGCTGCGTCATGGACATTGCTGGGGTGGGTGGGAATGGGCTCATGGGGGATTCTATAGCTCCCCTCAGCAGGGGAAAGGGAGCAAGTGTCCCCAGCCCTGGGCTGGAGGCAGGGCTGGGCACTCTTCTCCCCACCTGAGAGGAGATAGCTGGTTGGGTCTGTGGGTGATGGCGAGGTGTTTGGGGACTCCTGCCTGCCTGACTCCAGCTGCAAGCACATCTGGGGGAAGCTCCCCACCCACCACCCTGTAACCCAGAGCTGGGGCCTAGGGAGGGCCTGGATGCATATGGTGGCCTGTGCATTCTCACCCAAGTCCTGCGTCTCATCAGCCTTGTTCTCTTCCACCTCCTGCTGGGCCAGGCGGCTTCTTAGCACCTGGTTCTCCCCCTCTAAGAGGCTGGCCTGTTTCCGCAGTGACAAGATATCCTCTGCCATCCTCTGCATGGCCCGCCGGTAGTTGTTCATTTCCTGTGGGTCCCAGACCCAGAGCTGAGCCTGCTGCCCCACCGGAGCCCCTGTCCTACATCTGCACCCATGCTTGGGAGCTCTCCAGGCTAAGGAGCAGCATGAGCCCCAAGCGGGGTCCCCATGTCCCAGCAACTCCCTGGAGGGGTGACTTGGTCCCCACCCTCCCGGCTGTATTAGGGCAGCTGCGTAACTGATTTCTCAGCCATAAGGATTCTGGCAATGGTGACTTGGTGGGAACCCAGGGCGCAGACCCCAAGGGGAAAGGGTCGAGGCAAGTGAACCGAAAGGATCATCGCCACTGAATCTTTCTGAGTCACAGCCATTCTCTGCCATCTCCTTCCTCCTTTCCCCACTTCCAATCCCTCATAGTCGTTGACCCCAGAGAACAAACTCTTAGAAATCCCACTCATTGCCACTTAGGAGCCGACCCTGGCACCAGCCCAGCCGTTAGGAAGGTACACAAAGGAGGCAAGGAATCTCAGGGTCAAGGTCAGGTGTAGGTTGCAGGGTGGGGACCAGGAAGCAGGAAACAGAGTCAGTCATTAGGTTAGGAACAGTAACTCTGGTGTTCCTGAGCATTTACTATGAGCTAGGGCTTCTTCTGACTGTTTTATGTACCTTCCCTCATTCCGTCCTCACAATGAACTTATGTGTAGGTGCTCTGATCACCCCATCCTTACAGATGAGAAAACTGCAGCTCAGAGACAAAAAACATGCCCAGTGACAAAACCAGTGGTGGCAGACCTGGGGCCTGAAACCCAGACCTATTGGTGCTTGAGTGTTCTTACCTGCTGTGCAATCCTGCCCTGATGTCCACACTCACAGAGACCTCTCAATATGCCAAGATATGATCAAAGCAGGCAACAAAAAGCCAGAAATGTTCCAGCAGAGGAGACACAGCTAGGCTGGGTGGGGAACGGGGACCAGGGACACATGCTTGCTGTCGGGGAGCCTGGTGGCCTGTGGACTTCCTGAGGCTGATGAAGTGGTGTGGGGACTCTCGAGCACCCAAGGAGCAGAGCTCTGTCCCCAACTCTCCACCCCCAGACCTCATGCTGCCTGGGAAGGTGGCCTGGATATCCAGCCACTGCCTCCCACCTGCTGCATGGTGGGCCATTGGCTTCTAGGGGAGGAGCCCGAGACAGCAGGGGCCTATCAGCCACCACTTGTCACCTGTCACTGTCCAGCCCACAGGCTGGACTCCCTCCCTCTAACTGGTGGTGCCAACGTTGGATCTATCTTCTTGGCACCTGCTCCGGCCAAGGTCCAGGTCTTGGCTTCTCCTAATCTTCCCATCTGGCCCCCTCAGCTTGTTGGCTAGAATGCTCAACTCAAGGACTGTGGTCAACAGAGGCTGTGTGGGCTCAGGACTTGGGGAGCCTCAGAGTCGTCGGTGGGGACACCTGGGGTTGCTGCAAGGCTCAGAGGCAACAGGTGAAGCCTCTGCCTGGACAGAGCTAATTTGAAGGCACTGTTCTCATCCCACACCACCCTGAGCTCCTTGCTTCCTGCTCTGCTGTGCTCTGGGTCTTGATTTATGGGGCTTAGAGGCCCAGAAGGCTCCCTGGAGAAAGCCCATGATATTGTGGCAAAGGAAATTTGCCCCTTCTTTCTTTTCCAGCCTAGTTCAGACTCTTATAGTGTCTGCTTTGCACAATGACAACAGCAGCCAGTAGAGTTTCCTGGCTTCTAGAGTTCTCTCTCTCATACACACATGGCTAAGAAATCACATTCAAGGATGCTTACTGCAGAGCAGCTCATAATCTTATGCCAGGGCATGCATGGCGTCTGCTCAACAGTCACAAAGAATGGCCTGGAATTAATTGTCAGGCCACAAGGACAGACATACTCTATTGTGAAATGAAGGGGGTGCAGAGAAATGAAGAGGACCTGTGCATAACCGGTGTGGATGTGCACATCCCGAGGGGTCCCCAGGAAGGGGTTACCTGTTGCCTATTTCACCCCCTAGATCTGATTCACTCCGGGGTTCTGACCCCTGCTGTCCCCAAACCCCCAGCATCCTCCACCTCCTCAGCTCTGGGGTTGTGTTCGGTCCCTAGCACACATGTCCCTGGGGACTGGGTGTCTGTCCTTCCTCCTCAGTTTGCCCCACCTGCCTGGTGGAGCAGGGACCTTGGGAGACCACAGCCTTTGGACAGCAGCCCTGACCTCTCCCCACAGCTGGGGCCGGCCGGGCTCTCTCAGGGCCACACTGTGCGTCATAGCCTTGAGAGCACGTGGACACTGTGCCCCAGATTCTTCCTGTGGTCCTGCTCCCCCATCTGTGCCCTTCTCTTGTCACTGACACTGCCACCACCAGGACCTCAGTCCTGAGGCTCCCCAGGTGAGATATACTGGGACCCCAAAGTTACCCCATGTCACCAAGCACTGGTGACCTTGGCCACAGCAGCTTCTCTCTGGCTTGGAAGGGGGGCAGTTGTGCCCTGAGCCTCTGTGTCCTCATCTGAGGGGTGGGAAAGTCTCACCCGTGGGGTTGCTGTAGGGCAGGGAAAGCATGAGGGCTGGCAGGCCCTGGTTCTGGTACCTGGCAGTGTAACTCCCTTCCCTTTGGCTCTCTGAGTTCCTCAACAAAATGGTTCTTAATAGAGCCCTGGGCACTGGGCACAGAACTGATTAGGTGATGGCACCCACATTATAGGGCAAGGCTGAGTTTCCACAAAGAAGGGCAGGGCCGACACAGAGGCGGAAGAGGGTGCTGCTTGGCTCCTTTCTCCTAAGATAAGAAGCCCTGTTGTGAGTCTGAGGCCCTTCAGCTAGACCCATAGCCGCAATCAACTATGGGGCTCAGAAGGATGCTTATGCCCTCCTTGTGTGGATGGGGAAACTGAGGCTGGGAAGAGTGGGTTCAAGGTCCCCAAGGCTTCCAGATAAACACCTCCACCAGAAGCAGTGCAGTAAACTCCTGGCCACTCAGCATGTTCTGAGGGCCACTGTGCCTGGACCGATGTCCCTGCCCACAGTGCTCTTGCCTCCACACTGGGGAGGTGGCACAGTGTCCCGGACAGAGAGGGCTTAGAGGAAGCTCTTTCCCAGCCTAGGGGTCCTGGAAGGCTGGAGGCAATCTATGCTGACTCCTGGATAAATGGCTTCTATGGCCGAGAGCAGCATGCCAGGTGAGACGCAACAGGATGGGGCCCGGTGGAGGCAGTGGGCATGGAGAAGGGGACTGGAAGTTTGGGACTCGAGAGGTCGGGGATGGCAGCTGAAGAGCCATGGGAGATAGCAAGTGGGAGGACCTGCCATGAAGACGTGCCACAATCTCCTGGGCTGGAGCTTGACCTACAGAGTCAGGGTGTGGGGTGGGAGCAGCCCAGAGAGGAGGCCAAGGGGTAGCCTAGTCTGGAAAAGTCAAGGCCACAGAGAGCTTCCAAAAAGAGGCTGGGGTGGCTGAGCCTGGCACACTCTCGCCTCTTCCACCTGGGCATTCACTCTACTCCCTGGTCCCCAGCCCCAAGACCCTTGCTGGCCAGCCCAGGACCGTTGCATGTCATTAGTCTTTGTGGCCACCAGAGGGCAGCCTCCTCCCACAGACGCTCGCGCTTCAGCCTGACTCAAGAACCGGACCAGGCAGGTGTGGGGACGCAGGCCTGCACTCCCAGCACTTGGGAGGCTGAGGCAAGAGGATCGCCTTGAGTTCCGGGCCAGCCTTGACTACATAGTGAGTTCAAGACCAGCTTGGATTACATATTGAGATTGTCTAAAAAAACAAACCAGGCTACACCCCTGTTCCTGGGACACCAGCTGATATGCATTGTCCACCCTCCTGGCATGGGTTTGCTGTGCCTGCAGGGGACTGCCCACTGCTGTGGGGCCTGAAGTCTGCCTCTTCTCTCCAGCAGGCCTCCTAGCACCCAGCCTTCCTTACAGATGGTTTCTTTTATGCTGCCTCAATACACAACCCTATGCAGCTGAGGGATGGCTGAAATTGCTCTGCTCCTCCCCTCCCCTCTGGGTCTGGGCTGGTGACCTTGGGGACTTTCAGGAGGCAGCACAGAGCCAGGCTTGGGGCTCCCTGGAGAGGCAGAGGCCACGCAGTGGGAAGAGCCCTGGTGCCCAGCCCTGAGCTCCTTGGCCTCTGCCTCCTAAGTCACTGGGTGAGGATGGGGACTTGGGAATAGAGCTGGGCCTCGGCTGACATCCTGGCCCACAGAGCTGGGATGTAACAGTGAAGACAAAATGACTGTTCAGGTTGTGCTGTCTGGAAGAGGTTTGTTAGGCAGCGATAGGCAGTGGAACATTCACCCTGGCATCTTGGATGAAAGCCATCTGAGGCTTCCCTGCGCCCACATCACACACTTACAGCTTTGAAGTTCAAAGCAGACCTTCCCACACAACTTGGCCCCTTGCGCAACAGAGATCTGGCTGCTTGTGCCCACGGGGACAGCCTCACCTATGTGCACAAGTGACCACCCCTGCCCCAGGCAGCCTGGCACTCATTCCCCAGCCTCTCTCAGGCAAAGCCCCAGTGGTGCCGCTCCTGCCAGACCTGCCACACTTTGCACACTGCAGAGCTGGAGGATGACAGGCTTTTCCTGCTAACCATTATCCAGGATTTTAAGGGAATCAACCACCAGACATCACCACCAGAGGGCAGGCAAGGAAGGGCGGTGCACTCCAATGGCACAGAGGAACACTGAGGCACAGGGTTGGCCCGATGGGGCAGTAAGAGTATGAAGGGGACAGTGGGAGATGCCACACCCCAAGACCCAGAGGGCAGGGCTTTCTCTTTGATCAGGACTTGGCCCTGGGAGGGGAGTAGGGAAGCCCTTCTCTGACTGCCACCACCAGGGTGGGCCCAGATTCCCAAGCCTGTTCTGGGCTCTGCATTGTTATAAATCCCCCATCCACCACCTCCTGCAGCAAGGCTGGGAGTCAGGACTACACCCTAAACTCAGCTCAGTTGGAGTGGAAAGACCCATGTCCCCAAACAGCCACCAGTCTTAGGGTGGTGACTTGCCACTGGACAATGCTCACAAAGT